CGATCTTCATTTGTGGAAACATATGGCACCCGTGGGGTACTTGAGACCTATTTTGTGCTGGAATCATCATTAAACACTGAACGAGTAAATTCATGTCCAACGCTAAGGACGTAGCGAGTGAGTGCTATGTCATACCCCTATCAGCGGCCATAGAGCTATATAATTGCCGGGTAGACGAATGTACATACACTTGCAAAATGCATTTGTTCACTAAGCTACATACGTGTCAAGAAGCTACTAGGCTCTCCGAAACACTGCAAACGTAAGTCCAAAATTAAATAACCATCGAATCACCATTTCTTGGATGTTTGATTTTAGGCACAATTAAGCATGTGTCTACTTGGTCGGCTTTGTTAGGTGTACAGTGCGATATGATGCCAATAGAGTAAGTCGTTCATACGCCGACATTTTAATCAATCGATCCTCATTTAAAGAAACAATCTGCTCTCTAAATATTAGGTTCTTAAATGTAATCTGTCAGTAATGGCTGAAAATACTCCTCACCCGTGTTTTATGAGTACGACACATTAGTAAACACTGGGTTGAGCAGAAACAACACAGAAATGTGTTACTAATGTATGCGTTTTCACACTCCTAGTTTCTTGTCAATACACCATCTATGTTTGGTTTGTAAATTTACTTGAGTGTAAAACACACGGATTGTGTGTAAATGTTTTTGCTTTCTCCGAAGTAGCGTCCATGACATGTCTCTACTTAACTTTATGCTTAGCCGTCACTGACATAAGGGCAAACTCTCATCTTTCTGTAAATCTCACGTGACTGTGCGAGACTACAGCACGTGCTGTGACGTCGTGTCTGGGCACTATCATCACGTGACCTGGTAAACAGTGTTCCTGGAGGCCATTCAGCAGCGGGTTTTGCATGCGCCAGCTGGTCGTGAAAGGTTCCTGCTAAAGGTTGTCAAACATCAATGAAATTCCCCAACCAATTTCCAAAAGTCATGTTTGTTTTCAAAATCTTTAAGAAAATACGTCTACCTGCGCAATCATGGTTTGTTTTTCAAAGGTATAAGCTCTCACCGTCAGTCATTCAGTGCTGATCGCATGGGTTACCTGTGGGAGGTCATTCACAGGGACGTGCATGCAATCAGTTGGACACAAGCTACATAGCTGTAACATTGTGTGTAATTGTTCTATTTTTCAGATAGGTATTTTGTAATGTGCCGATAGACAAAGTGATGAAGATATTAGAATGTAACAGAAATGTCTTTAGAGACGAAGTGATAAACATATTTGAAATGTAACAGAAAACGTAATTAGGGACGAAGTGATAAACATATTTGAATGTAACAGAAAATGTAAGTAGGGACGAAGTGATAAACATATTTGAAATGTAACAGAAATGTCTTTAGGGACGAAGTGATGAAGATATTTGAATGTAACAGAAAATGTAAGTAGGGACGAAGTGATAAACATATTTGAATGTAACAGAAAACGTAATTAGGGACGAAGTGATAAAAATATTTGAAATGTAACAGAAAACGAAATTAGGGACGAAGCGAAAAACATATTTGAATGTATCAGAAAACGTAATTAGGGACAAAGTGATAAACATATTTAAATGTAACAGAAAACGAAATTAGGGACGAAGCGATAAACATATTTGAATGTAACAGAAAACGTAATTAGGGACAAAGTGATAAACATATTTGAATGTAACAGAAAACGTAATTAGGGACGAAGTGATAAACATATTTGAATGTAACAGAAAACGTAATAAGGGACAAAGTGATAAACATATTTAAATGTAACAGAAAATGTCTCCAGGGACAAAGTGATAAACATATTTGAATGTAAAAGAAAACGTAATTAGGGACGAAGTGATAAACATATATGAATGTAACAGAAAACGTAATTAGGGACAAAGTGATAAACATATATGAATGTAACAGAAAATGTAATTAGGGACAAAGTGATCAACATATTTGAATGTAACAGAAAACGTAATAAGGGACGAAGTGATAAACATATTTGAATGTAACAGAAAATGTCTCCAGGGTCGAAGTGATAAACATGTTTAATTGTAACAGAAAACGTAATTAGGGACGAAATGATAAACATATTTGAATGTAACAGAAAACGTAATAAGGGACAAAGTGATAAACATATTTGAATGTAACAGAAAATGTCTCCAGGGACGAAGTGATAAACATATTTAATTGTAACAGAAAATGTAATTAGGGACGAAGTGATAAACATATTTGAATGTAACAGAAAATGTCTCCAGGGACGAAGTGATAAACATATTTAATTGTAACAGAAAATGTAATTAGGGACGAAGTGATAAACATATTTGAATGTAACAGAAAACGTAATAAGGGACGAAGTGATAAACATATTTGAATGTAACAGAAAATGTCTCCAGGGACGAAGTGATAAACATATTTAATTGTAACAGAAATGCTTTTAGGGACAAAGTGATGAAGATATTTGAATGTAAACCTAAAAGTCTACCATACATAGACGAATGGATATATTTGATGTAGTTTTACCGGGGACAGTTTCAACAAGTTGTACAAATGTATCATCTAAAACATATTTTGTGTGATGAAACTATTGTTAGTCAGTGGCGATGAAAACTTGGCTTGTGATTAACCAATATTATATTGTGCAATTTGGTGGCTTTTGTGTCCATTGTTTCTGAAATTGCTTAATTACCTATTGTGAATTGAGCACTTTGTCACGGACCAAATATGACAATGAAACCATTTCTATTATATCAATGTATCGAAATCCTGAAAAACAAGTTTTTACTTGATGTGTCCTTTCTCTCCCTTCGAAAAAACAATCCAACATTGAGAAACTGGACTTGGAGTGTTTTATTGATATATATACTGACATACACGCTCACACACGCGCGTACGCACTCAGTCACACTCACATGCATTTAGACAAAAGCTTCAGCTTCAGCAAAGAAGAAAAACGACTCTGGTTGATATTTCCGTACGAATGTATTGTACTTCTAAAATGCACCATCACTTTGCACTTGCGCTCCATATTTAAACACCCTCCCACAGCAGACAAGCTGTACCTAGCTCCAGCACGTTCTTCCTACGCACTCGCGGCCAACGTACTCCCCCTCCCCACGGCCTGGTGATGGGGATAATTGGTTTTCACCTGTATCTCCCCTCAGGTGTGACAACTCATCATATATTCCCCTCTAACACGTGACACGTGAGATCAAACGCCGTTCAAGCCGAAACATTGTCCCTGGAACACGAGCCGTGAATCATAGTAATTCCCGCCAATTTAAAACTCCACTTTATCAGGTGTTAAGGGAACGGCCGAAGACAGGCTGTCGTAGATCGCGTTTCGTGCTCTTATATATTGGAAACAGCTTCACAACATGACTCGTCTTTCAAACCTACAATCGGCTAGGTTCCATATTGCTAATCTGAACACGTCCGCTCATAGAATAAGACACTATGTTCACAAGCTTATGTTTACGTTTACTTCTATGGTACTTAAACTATCTGCGTGATCAGTTTCATCTATGGTCGATTTTTCTTAAAACGTTTTATTAGAAAAATTATAACATAAATATAGACTAAAATAAATATTTAGCTTTTTCTTCGAGAATTTGAAGCATGTGGGGAAATGTTGTTTTATAATATACTGTTGACTGAGTATTGTGTGCTCTTTGAGTAGTAACTGATATTGTCATCCTCCTTCATCGGAATTCTTCCGCCTTTGAAGCCAGGGTATAAATGTTCTATGTAATGTAATAACTAGCCAACACAATCACCCCGCAGCGCCCCAGCGGAATGCGAGCGGGCAATGATAGCGGCCTAACTGGTGTATCACGGTATATGTACACCTGTGTATGAGAGCCTTGGAGCGAGTGTATGCTGCTATTATAACTCTAACGGCTTTCAGTCGTAGAAGGCGGCTTGGGGCTGAGATAAGGCGTCGCAGCTCTGAATGAGATTACCGGGGATTACCCGACAGGGTTGTACGATAGAGTCCGAGGGTGTGGGGGAAGACCGGGGATACCGACGTTTGATTTGGCCGACGCAGTGTGGACACAGTCCGTGTTGACGATAGGCTGACCGGTGTAGTGGACAGGCAGTGTCGATGCCCCACCCTTGGGTTTGACCGTATCAGCTGTATATCAGCGGATGTAGTGATTCCATGGTTGTACCTGGCGAGGTCTTGGAAATTCAAATCGTCCCAGCTGTGCGGTGTGTAGTGGCAGTAATTTGTGTCGTATTGTGGATCATTTTTCTAGTTGTAACGAGCACGGGAGCCTACAAGGTGGTGTTTTTACACCCGAAGATTTGCCGGTTGATGGCTGCATTGAGGAAGCGCAGTCAAGGTAGGGTAATTGTCGGATCTCGCAACACGCACAGGCCTGAGAATAGAACGTGTGTTAGCTCGGGGGTGGGAGGGTTTCGAGTAGAACGTGCACTCACCCGTTAGCCATGAGTATGTTCAACGACGTCAGCTGGGGACACGACTCGTGTCCACATAGGTAGTGGATGCTCGTTTCTGTTGTTTGAAATAAGTGTGAACCCGAGGATGTTGTTGAGGTGTGTGTGTGTCCTTGTGAACCCGAGGATGTTGTTGTTGTTGTTGATGTTGTTGTTGTTGTTGTTGTTGTTGTTGTTGTTGTTGTGTGTGTGTGTGTGTGTGTGTGTGTGTGTGTGTGTGCCGGACGAGGGGCGGGGGTTGTGTCGGGGCGCAGTAGGGTGTGTAGACAGATGTCACTCTCCCTCCGATACCCAGGAAGCCAGGAAAGGTTTTTCACCACTAAGGAAATCCCTTGTGTATGATCACCCGAGCGGTTTACAGTAAAATAATTATTGCTCTGTTTAATCGATGTTTTATTATACACATGATAATACGCGACGTTCACAGTTTCAAATTTCCTGTACCCACATGGCCTGGCCTGATCACCTGGCGTTGCTTAAATATCGAACATCACCGTACGTTGACACTAGTAGCGTATCGCTTCCTTCACATGTTCGCTTTGCCTTGCAGCAGTCACAAGCGGAACTACCTCAGTGAGGGCGGTTGTCAAGTCGCTTCTCCTCCGTTGACGTCTCAGTGAGAGTAGGCTGGTGGAGTTAGCAGCGTTACAGACATGTGAGTCGACAGCCAAGAGGATAACGCTGCAGTTTGCACAACGACAGCACGACGGCAACTAGAGGTGTATAACGGAGGTGTTTAATTATTCGAGGCAGAGCGAGGCAGGGAACAGGTGTCCATGCTCCAGGTGTTGCAGAACTGCCACAACGTATCTATCACTTGTGTCTGCTCTAACACACGGATATACATACTCCTGCAACAAATATGGTTAAATAACCGCCGTTCCCCGGAACCCGGAATTACAGGCAACTTTAAGACTTCTGGCAACATCTGATTAATGTGTCCAGATTTGCTTTTAACCTATATTAAGGTTATGTGCAACACGGTGGATGTACCATACACGAATTCAGGTGACTATATGCATTCGTTACATTGCTTGTTACGTATATGAGAAGTGACAACCTCGTTGTATTTCATTACCAAAGCGGACAAAGAACTGGACGGGAAAGTTCATATGTACCTCATCTATATCTTGGTGTGCTCAGTTAGTGGATATCAGTCTGTGAAGTGACTGTGGATCATGCTTGGATTATACCAAGGACAGGTTCTCCTTCTCCAGTTTCACACATAACTATGGAGGTACGTAGAGCTTGAATCAATCACTCATCCAATCAATCGGTCAAGCAATCATACAGTGGAACCCCGTTTTTCCGGACATTACGTTTTTCTCTAAAATCGTCCAGATTAAGATGTTTCCGGATTAACAAATTATGGTTTGTGAGAAGTGTCATTTGTATACATGTAGTCGTTCCCATCAGTGAGCGTCCGGAAAGTAGGGTTTCCAGATTGAAAGGTGTTCGGACTAACGGGGTTTCACTGTATATGTTCTTGATGCGGGAAAAATGCCTCGGAATCTTAATTTCACTATTATCAGCGTATATACTATGCTTAAAAGATCTCATGCTGTTATAACTGATGAAAAAAAGGATGTGATTTCTAATCCAGTTTCAAACCGATTATGCCTCCAGCTTTATTATCACTACTCCTGCACTTGATTGGTCCAAAACGTAACATATGAGACGTGCTGCATTCCCTCGGCAGTAATGACGTTTCGTGATGTACTGAAATGCAACTTCTATCTTTTGATATCACCAGCCCCTGGAGTAGGATAAGTTAACGTTGTGCCATATCCTTTTCTTTCTTAAAAAAACCATACTTTTAAATTCAAATGAACTGAAATGTAAGAAAATCCCTCAAAACAATCAATTCCTTAATACTATTTCAGTTATTAACTTCAGATAATATTGATTTAAATTTGACACTGATATTTCCTAATATGCATGTTTGTCATACATGTTGCTTTACACATTGAAATCTACATCACTGCTAATCTATATATTCTACGGGTGGGGCGGTGTGGTAGCCGAAGACCCGGGTTCGATTCCCCACATGCTTACAATGTGTGAAACCTATTTCTGGTTCTCTCGCCTTGATATTGCTGGAATATTGCTACAAGCGGCGTAAAACTAAACTCACTCACACACTCATTCTTCTACATGTACTGTCAGTACTGTTTAAACTGTCAAGAGCCGTTTTTACTTGAATATTTTTGTCAAATCAAATTTCCATGTGTATACTTTATTTTCGGTTCGCCTTTAAATATTTTTTCGCCCGGCAGTTTGATATTCGAAAAATCTATCAATGTAGAGTACTCATTATAAAAGAAGTCGACATACCAGAATTACTATCTACAACAAAAGTGTTCATATTCGGCAATTGAAGACTGCAGATCCGCGTGTTTTGTAGGTATTGTCCCCTCTCTTTGTCCCGTGATCTCCTTAAGACCTAGTGGGAAAAACCCGTGAAGATCCTCAGTAACCCATGCTTGTCGTAAGAGGCGACTAACAGGATCGGGTGGTCAGCCTCGCTGACTTGGTTGACACTTGTCATCGTATCTCAATTGAGTAGATCGATGTTCATGCTGTTGTTGGATTGGATTGTCATTGGATTGTCTGGTCCGCCGCCATATAGCTTGAATACTGCTGAGTGCGACGTTAAACAACAAACCAACCAACCAACCAAACTAGTGGGAAAAAACATGTGTGTTGATCGTGTGAATTCAAGTATTCTGTATGTAATCGCAATACATTCTAGAGCATGATACATCCCTCAAGCATGCATATCACAGATGAATATCAGCCCGTCTATTGATACAATACCGCACATCGAACAGGCCGCAACTCGTGTTAGTCAGGTTGAAAACTTGCCCTTCTATCTATTGACATTGTGTAAGAGCTCTTAACTTGATGATTGGGCGTGTCAGATGTCACGTGAGGGCACGGCAACGGAGGAGTGGGGTTGTGAGTCTTGTTGTTCTGAACGGGGTCGAATTGGTGATTATTTATACACTATGTCTGTTTAAATGGAGTACGTACTATATGTGGGGCAATTTCTGTATCCGTGCTGTCGTCACGAATGTGTGAAGCCTGCTTTGTAAGTACCTTCCTTTATGCGCGTGTTTGAACTTAGATTCAAATATTTTCTTCCAATTAACACATGATTAAATGGTTAGAGGACGTTGTATTTATTGACTCTGACATAACGGGGCTATATAAAAGAACAACTCCAACGACCTACACGAAATACGAAACGCAAACATAGCAACGACAGGGAATGAGATTAATGTACCTATGTAATTAGTATTCTGATCTATGTTCCCCTTATTTCCTCTTGCTTTAAGGCAACAAATCATCACACCACCACCACAATCATCATCATCATCATCATCATCACTATTGCACATATTTCACGTGTGACTAAAAGGACCAACAGGCGCAAGCCCTGCTCAATGCGAACGTGAATAATTTAATTATATACAAAGTATACGTTTTGTTCTGATTGTTCCACGACATGTCGTATTCATTTATGCCTACATCGATGACAATCACGGCCAAGTCACTGCAGCAGCTTGAGAGGCCAAATGTCGCCCCGTGTCAATACAAGTCGAAATCTGTACCACGATAAAGATCGACAATTGTTCCAGAAATAACAGTTTTGTCGCAAGGTGGTGACAGCTGGGCTAGAACTGCTACATTCATGTTGAGACCTTACCCTTTGTGCTAGGTGCGACCAGGGGTGTGGCCAGGGGTGAGACAAGGGTTGCAGGAGATAAGCGGCCACACTTGGAGGGTGAAGGCTTGTCACCCTGTACACATTAATGTGTTGTCACATACACGTAATGTACAGGTGCTGAGCCACGTGGAACTGGGTGGGGTTAGGTGGAATCAGGGGGGTTGTGAAGGAGTTAGGGGAAACATGCACATTATCATTTACACTACTATTTCTACGACTGCTCCTGCTGCAGCTTGTAGTGGAGTCATCATTATCATTATCATCATCATCTTCTTCATTTACTACTACTACTACTACTACTACTACTACTACTACTACTACTACTACGACTACTACTACTGTTACTACGACTACGACTCCTACTAGGTGAAGTCTTTCCACGGAAGTAACAGCATCGAGTATAAAACTACTATGACTACTACTACTACTACTACTACTACTACTACTACTACTACTACTACTACTACTATTACGACTACAGCTGGCGTCACCCCAGCAACTACAACAATTTACTGTAACTAGAAATCGTTGTGACCACTGTTGAGACTACCATCGCTACTCCCACTACCACTGCTACAACCACCCCACCTCCAACACTGCTGCTGCTATAGCTACTACCATCGCTACTCCCACTACCACTGCTACAACCACCCCACCTCCAACACTGCTGCTGCTATTGCTACTACCATCGCTACTCCCACTACCACTGCTACTACCACGGCACTGTTGCTGCTGCTACTACCAACTACTACCACAACCACCCCACCTCCAACACTGCTGCTGCTATTGCTACTACCATCGCTACTCCCACTACCACTGCTACAACCACCCCACCTCCAACACTGCTGCTGCTATTGCTACTACCATCGCTACTCCCACTACCACTGCTACAACCACCCCACCTCCAACACTGCTAGCTACTACTGCTATGGCTACTACCATCAAGCTACTCCCACTACCACTGCTACAAACACACCCCACCTCCAACACTGCTCCCACTGCCATAACACTGTATGGCTACTACCATCAACGCTACTCCTGCAACCATCTACCACTGCTACAACCACCCCACCTCCAACACTGCTACTACCATCGCTACTCCCCATACTACTACCATCGCTACCCCCACTACTGCTACAACCACCCCACCTCCAACACTGCTGCTGCTATTGCTACTACCATCGCTACTCCCACTACCACTGCTACAACCACCCCACCTCCAACACTGCTGCTGCTATATCCGCTACTCCCACTACCACTGCTACAACCACCCCACCATGCACTATTGCTCTACCATCACTACCACTGCAAATCCACCCGCTGTCAACACTGCTGCTGCTATTGCTACCCATCGCTACCCACTCCTCAACACTGCTGCTGCTATAGCTCACTCCAACACTGCTGCTGCTATTGCTAATACCATCGCTACTCCCACTACCACTGCTACAACCTACTACCATCAAGCTACCACTACCACCTCCAACACTGCTGCTGCTGCTATAGCTACTACCATCGCTACTCCACCCACTGCTGCTGCTGTTGCTGCTACACCACTGCTACAACCACCCCACCTCCAACACTGCTGCTGCTATTGCTACTGACACCATTCCTTCTACTGCTACCTCTATAATACTCTAAGCTCTATCACCCCAAACAACAGTTACAAAATGTACTTGCACCTCCAAACACGTCGATCGACATGTCCCAATATATCACCTTATCAGTTACAACCGCCATATGACAAGGACTTGGCCAACTGGTGTCACTTTGTTTTTCAACTCAAGAATTCAAACAGCCCAGTTCTAAATTTCAAATCATTATACTCAGATGAAATGAATTTGAGTTTGATCATTCGACCATAACTGGATCACATCGCCTAGATCACATCGGCAAGATCACATCGCCTGTCCCATATCAGCAAGCATGTTCCATGTTGTGACATCGACATGTAAACCTGTCAACGAGACATCACTGTAGATGTCAATTTCCCATGCAATGGGCGCCTGTCACTCCTCCTTGACACACAACCTGCTGGTGAGTGTGGGAATATATCGCAGCTAACAGCTCCCTAGCCCCACTCAACCCGTCTAGTTCCGCATAAAATACACGCTCTCGTTCTCAATACCACAATATACACCCTTTGTCATGATATCCACACATGGCTGGGTTCATTGTAACGACAGGTAAAGAAACGCATATACTTGCTTCTTGAAAGTAAACATTTCATAAACAGGTTGATAATGTTAATTATATAAATGACGGTTGACATTTGACGTAAGCATACCGATATGTTTAGTGTTCTTGTTGCACTGTGAACAGGGTTAAGTGGATACGTACTACTGAAGTGCTAGTAGGATGTTCCCTAATTACATTTACCTGACAAGGATTCATACACTAACATGTTATCGAATTAGACATGGATACGTGGATCCTAATAAACAAGTTCTTTGTTGTTACAATGGCGCTCAGATACAGGAAATAGAACGTATCATTCTTCTGGTTTAATT